TTTTTCTTAATCTCTGTTCCTTCTCCACTTTTTTGTTACTTTGCATTTAACAAGACTTGTAGCTTAGTCTTCCAAGCATGTGCATCATTGCCTGTACCTGAGTAGCCATCCCTGAAGCAATGGGAAGAAATCTTCAGCTAGTGGGTATTGGCACAGGTTGGTATTGGGTAACCCAATGAAGATGTCTTGAGTCAGCTGTAGACCTGTGAATGCGTGTCAGTTTCTATTTTTGCACTGATTTCTCCATGGGCAATTCCTTATGACAGCAGATGGTTGTTCTTGCTTCTGCCTTTAAAGAAGAACTGCTCCAGGAGAGTTGAAATACTATGGCAATAGAAGGTACTGTAGGCACGTTTATGTCTTAGTGTCATTTAAGGAAGAAAACGAGAGCTGTCATGGTAGTATGGTGGGGAGGAGTCCCAAGAGCTGTTGAAGCAATTCCAGTGACACATTAGTGTAGCAAGATCTTGTTAAGGCTTAGCGTTTAAGACAATTCTTCAGCACTTTGCAAGTCAGGGCAATTCTGGATAATGTACATTTCTCAATTAGGGAAGAGATTGACAAGGCAGTAGGAGGCTCCAGCCAGAAAATTACTTCACAGTAGTTTAATAAGGTGGAGGGTTTTTAGGATTATTGTGAGAGACAGAATAAATGCTGCTTTACTCAGAGCCCTAGGTGAAACTACACCATCTGCTTTTAGGGGCATGGGAAGCAGAACAAGATGGGGAGGAGTGAAAGGTCACAGGCATAAAGATTGCTACTTAGGTACTCACTGACTTTGGATCTCTCCCCCATTTGCTTGCGGTTTGTGTGAGTTCAGTTAAGTTGGTGGTATGGCAATCAAAACAGACAGCTGGAGACTTCTTAGTGAAACCTATCAGTTCAGTTTGCTTGTGCAGTAAGCACTGCTTTAAGTGATTTCCAGCTTGTACTCAGGCTGTTGAGGCTGCTGCTGAAGAGAACCCTGGATATTCCATAGCTTGTGCTGATACAGTTCTAGCAGAGCAACCTCATCCTGTTAGTGTTTTGTTACTGACAAATCAAAGCACTGTGTGTACAGGAAGTAGTTAGCAAATGCCTTTCTAAAGGCTGAAACAGCTGTTTGCCTTTGTTTGCTTATGGTTTTCGTACTGTCTCCTTTATGCAAGGAATGAGACTGAAGTCATAGGATGTTGGGGTTATTTGAGTGACACTGTTCCTGGTTGCCATTTTGTGTCTAGTGAAGTTTGTCTAACTAGAGTTTATCCCTGGGAAATTCCACATACTTAAGTTTCCTGCTCCTAAATACCTGATTTTAAGAGTTGTGGTCTGGAAGCCTGGTTTTGAGTCCTTCATTAGGAAATTTGGAGATAAGGCAAATATGCATATTTTCTCTTTGGAAAGCCACTTGTACAGACATGAGCCAAGATGAGCTTTGTCTCAGTTTGTGCAGTCTAATAATTGATGTTTGTAAAGACAGGAATGTGACTGAAAACTGAATGGTGACTTCAGGTAAGTGCCTGTTGTATGCCTTACCTCACTTGCCAAGCTTTGGGGACATCTAGGAAAATCAGTGTGTGTCTGAACTTAATTTCCAGTAAGACAATGGCAAATCTCAGTCACGTGCAAGCCATGAGGTGCTGTTGCATTTGTGACCTCCCTTGAGGCTCTCTCAGATCAGAGGAGCACCATTCAGCTTACCTGGGGGTGCCACAGCCCCTGCCTGGAGTCTGTCATTAGACAGATAGCACACAATAGGGTAATCTGTAGCCACGAATGCATGGTGCTGCAAAACACAAGCTTTCTCTGTCACCTGAGCTGAATGCGCTGTGGAGTGCTGAGAAACACGGTGCCTAATTTCTTGGCGGTTGGACTAGATGATCATTGTAGGACCCTTCCAACTGAACTGTTCCAATGAGAGGGCTTCCATGGTTCCCTAACTAAGCCAGTGCATCCTTTCTGTGGCTACTGATCTAGCTATGCAGGTCAGACCACATTTTGCTCAGGAGACAGATGGGGAAAACATTGATCCCAAGCTGGCAGTTGTTCTATCACAGGATTAATAATACTTCGTTATTATGAAGAAGGAATGCCTGGCAGCTAAATAAACTAGAGACCTGTGGAGTAGTTGGTGCAGGACAGCTAGGGAAGATGAGAACAGCAGTCAGATTATGGTGCTTCCTGAGAGTAGTTTTTAAACCTGCAGTGATTTGAGTCAGGAACTTCTTGGATCACAAAGGTGAAATAATCATATTTAAGAGCTCTGTGGGGAATTGTCTTCCAGAAAAATTATTATTCCCTTTAAATATGCAAAGTATTTGACATTTTACATAGCTTGCAGCAAGGAGTCACGTACCTTGCCTATATATTATACAGCAGAGTATCTTATTGTACTTGTTTTAAACCTGCTGCTCTTGTTTGAAGTCCTCTAGTTATTGTATTAGAATAGTGAATAGCTGTTTTCCTGTTCACTTTCACCATTCCACATTCTCTAGACCTCTATCCTTCTTTCCATGCCTTTTTCAGGTTTCAGAATCCTTGTCCCTTCAGGCATCCCATGCATAAAGCTGTTTTGTTCCTTCAGTCAGTTGTGCTGCCTCTTTCAGGACCTTTTATGTTTCTTCCAAATTGGCTTTGGGATGGGCAAATGGACCAGAACTTCACACAGTATTCAGGTGTAATGTGGATTAATGTTGTGATGTTTGTTCCTTTTTGGTTTCTCTGTTCTCTTTACAGGTAGTTTGTAGCCTTTCTCTCAGGTTTTTTTTTTTTTTTTTTGGCTGCTCCTGAGTTATTCTCATAGGAGATGCTGTCTCAATCTTATTCCTGAAAATGTCTACCATAGTATTCAGAACAGTGCATCCTGTGTGCACCAGTCTGCTTTCTCCTACCTGTCAGTTTGAAATTTGTGTGATCTTACTGATGTGAAGTGCAGAGTGCTGTTTCCCTCTTGTTCAGATGGAAATCTAGTGGTCTAGAGAAGCTTCCCCAGTCTCTGATGAACCTGAGCCTTTCTTCCTTACTCTGTTTTAGTCATGTATTGAGACTTTGCCTCCCCACCAGCTGTGTTATGATGGGTGTCCTGGTCTTCGGCATCATACGTTCTTCCTCCAGAATCTTTTTCTTTTACATGGTACCCAGGTGGGCCGCAACCCCTGCCTCCTCCCCAGTGTTTTCCAGTGTTTCCAGGCTTTTTTTGAAGTTTGTTGGTGTAGCACCAGTAGGCACATAATCAGTACACTGTCTCTGGAATCAGGAGCCAAACCTGTTAGGCATCTGGTGACTGACCCACTGATGGCTATTGCCTGTCCTTTTTTCTCAGCTGGGGCTTCTGTCTGAGGAAAGTATTATTAGTACAAGAAGATACATAGACACCTTATGCAGAGAGGGGACCACTGGACCACAATTATTACGTCCTTAATTAGCTTGGTGCCATACTGCCATGAAACTAGGGCTGGAAGAGCTTTTCAGTGCTCTAAAAAGCCTGCTCAGTTTAACTTCTTTGCTTAAGCAGCATTGGGTTTTTTTGCCTGCAGGGGAGACTGTCCAGAGCTTGCCATGAAGGCTAACACAGAGGCTGGTGAGTGTTCTTCCACCTATACCACGATCAAGTCACAAGAAAGGGCTCTGTCTCTGAGGATCATGAGCTACCTGGAATGAAAATGCCTTTGCACCATGTACACACGGGTTGGGTAATCGTATGATGCTTGATACTTTACCCTTGGAAATTGCCACCCTCTAGCTAGAATGTACCCTTCTGTCTGCATTTCGCTTGCATATCTAGACTGACTTAATAGAAATGTTCTTATATGGGATGGCAATGGAGCTTCCAATTACAGTATTGAGAAGTGATTACGTGACGTGCATCATTAACAACTGTATTCATTGTGTTTTGTAACAAATCGTGCTGAGACGTTGAATGAACCCACGTTATGAGAAACTGAGGCTTATCTTTAGCCTGTTTCATTCAAAAGCAGCTGGCCTTCCCGGAAAGGCAGCGTTTGTTACTTGGCTATGGGCTCGATAGAAGGTGGAAGAAGAGCTCCAGATGTGTAAGATGTATTTGCATCAGTGTGTTACTCACCTGATGATCCCTGTGCTGTAGAGGGGCCAAAGGAAGGCAATTCAGGTGGAGGAAAAGAGTCTCCAGATGCTAGAAACTTTGCTACAGCAAAGCAAATACGTGCCGCCCGTTACATCCCTGTCTTATTGTGATATTCTGTTGTCTTTATTTGCCTTCTGAAACAAATCTGTGTGTAAGGCTGTGTGTGCATATATATCTTTTAGTAAGTTCAGTGGAACTGAGAAAACTTAAAATTGAAGAAGGGGTTTCCAAGAAAAGATTGAGAAATGTTGCCTTAGGTTACGGTGTTTGTGCTTGCGTTAAGTGACTTGCCAATTAACTTGCTTTAACTAGCACAAGCAGACATGCTTATCTAGATACCCTGCATATATTTATCACAAATGTTTGTGACCTTGAAGAATTTTTCCAGGACACAAGTGTGCCTGGCTAGGTAACTACAAATAAAATCAATCTTTAAGGAGGAGAATAACAAACTTGAATATAGCTGTTACTATGGTGGCATGTTCTTGTCTGTCTGAACAACCCATTTCAAGGGAGTTGAGAGGCACATGCTGCTGAATCTATATCAATTTATATTAGCTCTGTATCTGACCTGGGACTGAACACTGTCTCTTTAAAACATGCCAATTTTCTACACTGGTCCTGCCCATAATTTTTGATTTGTTTTTAATTATACCAAAGAAGGAAATAAACTGCATCCTTGCAAAATTTTCATGGCTGTTCTGATTTGGGGTGTTGCAGGGTGTAGTTAATGTTCTGAAAAGGCTTCGGGATTCCTGGATGAAAGGTGTGATGAAAGAAATGTGTACTGTTATTGTTTTAGGGGAGGAATCATGCTACTGGGTAAGCCTCTGTCACTGAGACTTGCTGGACTTGTTTGTTCTGACTTGCCTATGACTCCTTTCTTTCCTAATTCAGGAGATAAAGCCTCAAGTCTATGCTGTGATGCTGCACACTGCGTTGTGGTGTTCGGGACAGTACATCGCCCGGACAGAAGAGCTGCTTGCTGACCTCTCAGTGGTACTCGGAGGTGAGTCCCACAGCCTTCTGACTTGCTGCTTGGTAGTTTGGGCAGCATGGCTATATCGTGTGCAGATTTCTAGGGTTCTAGGGCAGCTTCTGAGCTTTGACCGAGGGGGTGGGGCGAATGGCACAAGCTCTGAGCTTACCTCTGATTTGAGCTGCCTTCCATGCATCAGTAATCCTTCTGATGCTTCCCCCTTTCTCCTCACCTAAAAGGTGTTTGTTTTCCAAGAATTCCTTGGCTCTTCTACAGCATGGCATGGTGACAGATCAGGCTGATCTCTAGTGACTGGGGGTTGTGGCAGGGGCGGGAGGTACTCTCACTGCACCCTGACTCTGATCTGCTTTTGCCATTGATGTGGTTAGAATGCATTATGGTCAGAACTACTGAGCTAACAGCAGGGTACAAGAGGGTGAGCAAAGTAAGGCAGTAGAAGTAGCTTCTTATGCTCTTATTTATTTTTGTGGGCTTTGTATGGAGCTACTGAAGCGTTAATCTCTGCAGAATCAACTTGGAAACACACAAAATCTGTCACCAGACCATTTCACCCACCCTACCTTGAAATGAAAATCAGACTGAGAAACCCTGGAGGGTAGAACTGCTTGTCTGGTATCTTGCTTCTGGAGCAGACTTCAGTCTGTCCAAGGGGGAGGAAAGGGAGGCAGGCAGAGCTGTTTTCAAGGCTGAAAACCAGAGACCTACTGCTATATTCTGGGAGTGCTGAATGAACATAAGATTCGTTTATCATGAACACTGCTGGAAGTGGAAATCTGAGGGGTAGAAGATGATGTAAAAGTAGCAGAACCTTACCCTAAACAGTTTCTAATCAGTGGCCATGTACTTAATATTTCTGTTACACTGGGATGGCCTCTCACATGTTCATGCACATTATGAAGTCCTTATGTAGTGAGTAGCCCTCCTAGTTCCACTAAAGCTTATTACAGAACACGGGAGTCTTTCTCAAGATGCTGGCTGTGGCAGTCTACTGCAGAAAGAGGCATTACTGATCAAGGTTATTTTAGTTGTTGGCCTTACAGTTGTGTCCCACAGATTGTTGTAGTGACATGGCAGGCCAGCTCTATCCCTGCAGTTTAAAGAACTCACAACTACAGCTGTATGCAAAATTGTTGAGAGAATAAGGAACAACAGATACTTTGTGCTGATTGCAAAGGTGATCAAATACTCAAGGAAGCCTGTATGAGCAGCATTTTGGCATTATGGATATAGTTACTGGTAAGCTCTGAGTCAAGACATTCCAAAGAGTAAAAACTGCTCTTGAATGTTGCTGCAAATTGCAAGAACAGTATTTGGAGCTGTTGTCTTTGCCCAGCTGAAGTATGTTCCTAGGAAGCAGCAAGACTGTGGTAGAGTTGAATGATGGGTAAGGGGAGGAGCTCAATTAGTAAGTGGCAAGTACATTAGTGGTGCTTTATCTGACTGCAGAGGGGTGGCATGCAGCACCTACTGTTTTTGTGGGATGTTTGAGGGTGTGGGGAGATCAAGCTGATTCAGTGTGACACAGAAGAACACACGTCTTACAATCTTCAGCAGATGCCTTCAATGTTTGGAAGTCTTCCATTGTATCAGAATTGCTTTGGGAGATATCAGACATTGAGTGATTGAGGCTGGTAGGTAAGTGACCTTATCCAAACAAGGGTTTTGTAGTACTTGGGCACTAGCTGCTGCTGTTTCAATGCTCAAAGTAGTAGAGGATGTTGTCGCATTCTTTGAGTGTGTGTAGTGGTTATGCTGCAAGAACAGAGGAAAAGCGTTTGGTTGGCGTCACTGCTTGTGGCAAAGGTGGGAGTGGGATTAGCATGTCTTCCTTGGTGGGCCTGTGTTTTTGCTCCAGCACTCTTGGGGGTAAACCAGATGTAGTGCAGTTGCTGCCATTCCCAACCACCCTGCCAATGTAGATCGCTTCAGGGATCTAGTCTGGATTTTCAAATGGCAGTCCCCAGGCCAGCAGATTAGTCTGTTCGGTTGTCTTGTGAAAGGTCCCATTTCTAGGAAGAGTGATTGTAGGGATGTGCTTGAATGAATTCATCTTTGAATGGAAAACTGGTCATGGCTGTAAGTGTGGAGCAATCCTGATGAGCAGATGTGCTGCCCAAGCTCTGCCACTGGCTCTTCGGGGTATTGTAGTATCAGTGAGCATGGGCATAATATTAAATAACTTTCTTATAGGAACACAGCAGCAGATCAGATAGCAGAAGGGAAGAGGTTACATGTTTTCTTTTATGTAGAGTTTTGATCACTAAAAACTTATTTCATATGGGAATAAAAGAACCCAAAATCCTGGAGGGAAGAAGGGCCCAAGAAAGCTGGTTAATATTCCAGGATCACTTCCTCCAAGCTCAGGAGTGCACCCCACAAAGAGGAAGGCAGGCAAAAATGCCAGGAAGCCTGCACGGATGAACAAGGAACTCCTGGACAAACTCAAACACAAAAAGGAAGCCTACAGAGGATGGATGCAAGGACAAGTTGGTGACAGCCAACATGGCTTTACTAAAGGTAAATCATGCCCAACAAATTTGGTGGCCTTGTATGATGGAGTTCAACGTTGGTGGATAAAGGAAGAGCAACCAGTGTCATCGACCTGGACTTGTGCAAAGCATTTGACACTGTCCCACATGGCATCTTTGTCTTTAAATTGGAGAGGCATGGATTTGACAGGACCACTTGGATAAGTAATGGGCTGCATGGTTGCACTCAAAAGAGTTGTGGTCAGCGGCTCGATGTCCAAGTGGAGACAGGTGACGAGTGCTGTTCCGCAGGGGTTGGTATTGGGACTGGTGGTGGTGTTTAACATCCTAACTTGACTGTCCTCATCCATGCTGGAGGACAAACGCATCAGTGTTAGCTGAATTGCCCTGTCTGCCCTCCTGAGAGTTAATTAGTAGCCTACTGCAGTTTGGGCAGTAAAAAGAAATCAAAGCATGTGGTATAAGGAAGCAAGAAATGCGAGGCTGTACAAAACACCTGACTCTGGAAGAGGTATCTACTCAGACAACTGTAGTAGTGGGGGTCTTCTGAGGAAAAGGCCCATCTATTAAGTAGTGCCTCTGCCACGAGAAGAAAGAAAGGCTGCATCTATGGTTGAAGGTGATGAGATCATCTCTGACGCCGCATTCATCAACGCTGCAGAAGATCAGAGTTTCTCTGGCCAGGGAGTGTTGCTGGGTGGAGCACAGTTCTCTCGGTTACTAGAGCACAGATAAGACCATGCAGAAGTCTGATTCCTAAACAGGGGGATCTGCCTACCGCTGAACTATTAAACAGAGATGGATGTCTCAGGCACAGGAGTCCCTCTCGGGTGGTTATTCTAGTAGCACATAACAATCCTGCCCTCCATGGCATAAGAGCAAAAAGGCTAGAGGAGCAAAAAACCACCAGTTCCCTGCACTCATGCTGATTTCTGAAATGCGTGGCAAAAGATCAGTTATTTTCTAAAGTTGGAAACAGGCAAGTTTTTCTTTCCCAGCCTTTCAGTGCAGCTGGTGACTAGCATGTCTGCTGAGGAAGTAGACAAAGATGGGGGCTGCTGTGCTGTGTCCTGCACTCAAGCATCACAGCTGAAGGATACATACTGGCAATTGTATGCTGTGGGAAGTGATGAGACTTGGTGCTTCCATTGAATAAAAGTTTTTTTTTTTTCCTGTTCTGGTACTTATCTTAGCAAGATGGAAGTAGAGAGCATCCTGCTCAAGGGAGGAAGCTGGTTAGGGTTTGAAGAAGTGTTTCCACTTTAATTTGTATATCATAGATACAAATTAATTACCTACATGAATGTATGGAAGTGCTTCCTTTAAACTGTTTTCATAATTTTAAAATGAAAACAGTATCGGAAGTGGAGGGGGATTTTATTCCTTATCTTCTGTGTTCTCATTTCCCCCAGCACTGTAGCAGTTCCTGTTTTCCCTTGCAAGTCTGTGTGACCCATGGAGAGCAAGCAGTTCTGAAATGTTGGAGGAGGACTGGGTCTGTGCTGCCAGTGTCTGTAGATGTAACTGTTAGTTGCACAAAAAGGAAATAGAGACTGAAATGCAGGACAGTGTTGCCTGTTGGAGCATGAGTCCCACAGGCAGCAAGACGCTCACTTCTAAAGTATCAGTCTTAAGCTTTTGTAGCTTAGGCATAAGGCCATGTCTTGAGGAAATCTGTTTGTATACAGTTCAAGAAAGCTGGTGGTTGTGAAATGAGCACTGTTGCCTCAGTATCTGCAGAGTCAGCCATATGCCATCAAGGCTGTGCTGCGTGTTATCTGTGTCCACAGCAATGGAGGGATGTTGCTCTGATTCTTGGTTGAGTGGAAGCATACTGGGGTGGGGACAGCTGAAGGGTAGGGAACCAGTCTGAGTTTGGTAGGGGCTCAGGCTGGAGAGCAGAAGCTCTCCAGTCAGGAGATCAAAGTTGGATGCTAAAGCAGCATTTTAAAATATGAGAGGTGGCTAGCCAGGCAGGGGCAGAGGCATGTTGCTAAAGTGAGCTGTTTGGTTAGCTAAGGCGCTTGTCCTCAAGCGCAGTAGTTGGTTGGCTGTGAGGTATGCTGCAGTCCCATGAGGTGGGACTGGGAAAGACCACCAGTTGTGAGATGAGGATGCCCCAGGGGAGACTGTAGCACGTTAAAGAAACTGAGGCAGGACAGTCCTGCTCGTCTTGGGTTTTTATCCAAATCTCTGCATTGATGTTAAACCGTCAGGGGTACTGGATAGTGTATATAGTGGAAGGTCTAGATGGTCAGAAGTGAAGGCCTCTGTGGACCGGTGTAGCTAGTGTCTGTATATTAGGTGCTCACTGCAACTTGCAGTTTCCAAATAAAGTAATCTTGTCCAGCCTGGGCTTTCAGGCTGCTCCACAGTCTGCCTTGCAGAGCCTTGCCATCAGGGAACTGAGCCTGTTTAGTGGGGAAACAGATGGATTTGGGGAAAACTTGGACTGTGTGTTGCCAGAAGAACATAACTTTGACCCAAAAAAGTGGGCGCAACAGAAGGACAGGTACCAGGCTTCTCTGTAGCATGTGACACTCAAGGCTTGATCCTGGTTGTGTGTCCTGTGTATTTTGGTAACTCTATGCTTCTGTCTGACCACCAGCAGTTGTGCTGGCTGAAGCTATGCTGTTTAACTTTTTCTTACTCGTATGAGTGGGTAAAAGCTTGCCAGCTTTCCTTCTTAAGCAATGGACTGGGATACCTGCCAGCACTCTCGCTAACCAAAACCAAGCTTTTATCTGAGGAGATTAAATTCTGAATTGCTTCCAAGGTCTCTGTCTCACTGAGCCCGCCCTCACTGTATGCAGACCTCTCAGTTGCTTCCTCTGTGGCTTTATCCTCCTTTTTTTTTCTGGTTTGCCTGGCACATCATCTCTTTCTTGCCCTCAGGGCAGAGTGTATATCCCCACTCTGCCTTCCCACCACTTCACTGTCTTTTACTGTCTTGGTTTTGTTTATCACACCCTCATCTTCACTGCTGATCTGTCCTCTCAGCTCATCTCCTAAGAGAGAAACTCTGCTGTTTTCCTGTTCTGCTTGCTTATCTCTACTTGCACTGTACTGTCTTTCTTGCCACCTTGTAGTCAGAAAACCTGCAAAGCCTTGCTCTCTCTGCCTGCCTTTCTGCCCCTTCCTGTCCCTCTTTCCTTAGATGTTGCTCAGAAATGGCTGTGCCGTAGGCCTGAAAAGGGGAAAATAGCATTTAGTATGTCTGGTCCAGAGCAATACAAACATGGATCAGTTGGGGCAAAACAGCATGGTGACTAGCCAGCTGAGTTCCTGCTCCCTGGAGCTGGCTGCTGCCACTTGTCTCTCCAGGCACCTTTGAGAGATTCTCTCAGGTTTTTCTGATACTCTGTACTAAATACCAGCCATGAAGTAAAGACTCAGTGCATGGCCTGACGATTACTACGTAGTGCACTGTGGAATTACTGGGTATCTGAAATAATTGTGCTTAAGGCTTTGCATCATTCCACAACAAAGCCACTGAGGACATGTGCAAAAATGCGGTTTTGCTAATGCTCTCTTGCTTAATGCTGCACAGAAGGACGTAAGTGGAGGAGAAAGATTTATGTGCTTTTGTCCATGTGAGTCAAGTTCCCAACCCTTTTACAGGTCTGCTGTTGGCTTTCAGTGAGTTGCTAAGTCTGGGTCTTGTTGCCTTATGTTTATGCATGAGTAGCTGTTTCTCTCCCCTGTGACAGAGTGTCAGGCAGGAGATGGGATGTGGTCTCTTACAAATGTGTGTGTGGTTTGGGGGCAATAAAACCCAAACTCTGTAGGGGATCAGTAAATGTTACTACTCATACCAACTAAAAATAACTTAAGGTTGTGATATATGGCATCTCTAGCATCCATGGTGCAGAAGTTATTTCATCAGTCATGAATTATTAAATTTATGTTCAGTTTAAGCACCTGCATGGGCAGTCAGCTGCACTTGAAATCTATAATATTTCTTGATGGGAAATTGTCTCTACTAGCAATATCTATACAACTCTAGGCTTTTCTCAGAGGTGTGTGTGAGGCAATGGAGGCAAGTTAGAACTCAGGAAATTCTGAATAAATATAAAGAAAAGGTTCTGCCATGAGGGTGGTCAGAGACTGGACTAGGACCCCTGAGAGACTGGGTGATCTCTGTCCTTGGAGATACTTAAAACTTGGCTGAACAAAGCCCAGAGCAACCTGCTCTAGTGGGACCTGGTTTGAGCAGAAGGTCAGACTGACAGGGTCCAGAGGTCCTTCCCAACCTCCTTCATTCTGTGAGGTTTGTCAGCTGGCTAAGCTGTGCCAGATATAGTTTGGCTTAGGAATGCCCTTTTGTCTTTGTAATAGAGTTGAATTTGTCCATGTTTTCTTCAATGCAGATACTGATCCAGATGGGCAGAGGAGCGAATCAATTAGAGCCATGGAAGATAGCAGTCATCGTTGTGGCAGTGATAGTAGGCTTAGCCTTCATAATTGGCTTGCTTACATTTTTTTTGTGCAATGGTAAGTGCACTGCTTTTTGTTGTCACAAGACTTCAGGAATTTGTGTTTTGCTTGCTACTGTGATTTAGGTATAAAATTCACCCTGGTACAGAATTTGCCTGAGAAAACTTACTAGACCCTATTGAAGTTCTGAACTGATTAGAAAACCTGCAGGAATAGTTAAATGCCTGCTTCAGGTAAATAATATTTTTGTCCCTCTTTGTTTCTTGTCTTGCCCTGGTGTCTCCACTGGTATCCATGGTTAACCAAAGGCTAGCAGTCTCCTGTATAAGCCAGGGGTGGTGTGTCTATCACTCAGGCTATGCCTAGTAAGCTTGGTCTTGAACAGAGCTTATCTTTGCTTTTTGATAACTCTGCATTATGGAGTCCCTCTCTGCCATATGCCTGAGAGCCAGATTTTAAATTTAAACTGACTGCTGAATGGATGCAAATAGCTCTGCCTCTCTGGTGGACAGGGACATGACAGAGTGCAGCTAGGGAGAAGTACGTGTACCTAAGTCAGAAGGGACGTGTGTGACCTGGTGTATCTCATGCTGTGCTCACCTCAGGCTGATGAGAAGATGGTCTCCAGAGAAATGTTGTAGAGGATGCAATGTAGAGCTGCTTGGGATGGTCTTCAAAGGAAAAATGAACCCCTAGCTGGTCTGTGGAGCAATAAGGTGGCTCAGAGCCCTCATTTCTCACAGTGCTGCCTGGAGCTTGGCCCAAGCTGTAATTCCACAGCTGACAGGGTCATGGTCAGAGCCTGGGAGCCTTACTTGTGCCATGCTATGTGAGGGGCTGTGCATCACTGAATTGTACTGAAGTTGATGAGTGGCCTTTTCTCCTCTCTAGAGCAGGACCGATATTATGAAGCATCATTCCTTATCACCAACGTCGAGTACAACCCTCAGTACGAAAGGCAAACAACAGAAGAGTTCAGGAACCTGAGTGAAGAGATTGAAATCATGGTAAGCCAGGATGTTTCTCTGTTTCTGCCTCACCTATGGTGAAGAGTCCTGCAATTATGTGATTGGAAAGAAGAGTCGGAGGTGATGGTGCCTTATCCTTATGCAGCCAGCCTTACCTTTAAAACCTTTCTGTAGTGGGATAAAGATGCTTTGCTGACTGTGTGCAAGCACCTGATAAGCACAGATGCTGTTCCAGCAGCTCTGTAGTGGAGCAGGCACCCACAGAGCACAAAGGACAGCAAAATCTGCCTACTCACTGTTCATTTTGGTTCTGAAACCTCTGATAGAAGTTTAGCAGTAACTTCAGTGTAGAGGTGGAGATCTGAAGGCATTTTCTTGTGTTTCAGAGGCTTACAAGAGTGCTGTATCTTGAGAGTGTATACATATTAGATGTGTATATTAACACACTCTTTTCCTTTAACAGATATCTACAATATTCAGGGGGTCCTTCCTAAGTAAAAAGTTCATCAGGTCTCATGTTGTCAGTCTAAGGTGAGTACTGTGAAGGTCAGGAATAAGCAGGGATGTGATAAATACCCTTTCTTCCTACCCCTTGACTGTATGGAGTGTGTCTGGTTCATGCTTCCTGTGGGAGCTCAGGGTGGTGTTTACCCTCTGCATAGGAGGTACTATCATCCCCCTCTAAAAAGGTCTGAAAGAGTAAATGATTCTACTGTGGGATATTGGGATAGACAGTTGAGGGGAAGTGAGTGGGACACACAGGTAAAAGGTCCTGTAAGAGAGCTTTTAAGTCTTCTTTGTGCAGTAATTCTGTATCACACTCAGCAATAAGTGTCACCGCTTCTCTCTCCTTCACATTACTTAGGTTTGGAGTTGTATTTCAGTAAGACTCAATTCTGCTGTAGAATATTTTTCCCTAGACAACAAAGAATGCCAGACCTGCCACAAATGCCCTCCTTCGCAGCACTTCTGGGCTTTCTTGCATTTACCTGTCTCTAGATGGAATGAGTCATTTCCTTAACCTGCTCTACATTGTTTTCTGCTGCTGGTTTCTTGTGTGAGCCTCCCATACTGTGTACTGACTGAAATTACAGAAGTGAGGGGCTGGACTTCAAGCAACATCTTTAATCCTTTTAGGGTGACCAAACAGCGTGTCTCTTCCACGCTTGTTTTTGCTACAGATACCTTCTTGTGTGACTGAGCGCTGGACCAGCTTAGCTGCATCTCTGCTACCTTTTCCTCTAGGCTTCAGTTGGTTTTCCTTTAGACTGTGAATCTAAAGTATTGGGCCCTATATTTTCTGTTGGCAGTAAGTGACCATGCCTTGCTTTGATAAATTGAACTATTGAGATTTTTGTTTCTAGATCAACAGAGCTAACTGGCCAACATAAATGGACAGGTGACTTAAAAGCAAAGAAATGCCAAAAGGCCTTTTAAACTTCTGTGGCTCTGAACTGAGTCTTGTTGGGTATCTATTGAAGGGTTTTAACTTATTGTGTTGTTCCTACCGCTCTCTGTCTCCTCGTGACTATGAGCTGTATGGAGATGGAGCAATCACTCCCTTTGGTCTCTTCCTCAGCTATGCTGCTTATAACAGCTCCCAGAAGATTCTGTCTGATCCTGGCTGTAGTGAGAACCAAGCCTTTTGCTGCCCGCTGACATATGTAGTAAATCTTCCTTTACTTGTGCACAATTATGCTATTGTTTCTATGCATCTGTGAAGACCAGACCTGTTCTCATATAAGGAAGGCAGAGGGTGCGAAGCAGAACGAAAAGGATTAGTGGGCAAAGAGAGAATGACACCACTTTGTTTTTGTTGGTTTGCAGCCCAGATCCTGGTGGAGTGCTTGCATCTGTTGTTCTGGTATTTAGATTTGCCTCAGCTGACGGTGAGGCAGCAACCTGGGGTCTCGTCAACCGTGTGTTAGGTACAAGGCTGAAAACAAGTTCCGTGTTCTTGAATGTTGACCAGTCTACCCTTACACTCACAGGCAAGTGCCTTAGGTTTTAGCTTGGAATTTGTTCCTCATACTTTGCTGTTCTCAGTGTAATGAGTTTCACTTCAGTATGCAAATATTGTCCATTACTGTTCTCTTCTTTTGCCTTGGTATAATTGTGGTACAGCTGACAGCCTGAGAACTTGGGAAGAAGTAGTAGGAAAAGAACTAGAGGAGACTGGCACTGATGTATGAGTGTGAGCTCTCCTCTGTGCATCAGAGGCCCTTCCTTTGTGACCTAGCTGTGTTGAATGAGAGAGCCCCCCTGCCCAGTTCATCAAAAAAAGACACAGCTTTGTGACCATGGCTTCATAGATTGCTAAGGGACACAGTGACTTGGACGGGAACCTGTATCACCAGGCCCTCAAATGCAGAGCCGTCAAGCTATTAAAAAACATGCAAGCTGAGATGGTTCACTTCTCTACTCCATGCCATTTTGCTTATTTGACAGATCGCAGTAGCAAGTGGTCATAACAAAACCCTGAGGTTCCCTGGGCAGTAATCAGCTCCCAGGAATCTGTCATTGGTTACCATCAGAATCTGGTATGGAAAAAATCAGTAATGTTACAGTTCAGCTCCTGACACTGAGGATTTGTGTGGACTGTTTTGACCACCTTGCTAGGCTGAACCTGAACAAATGCATATGGGCTTTTATATAGTGCCCAGCCCCTAGCACATGTAGGTGTTCCTTGGACCTGTTTGCACTCATCTGCTATAGGTTTTTTTTAGTTTTGAGATAAGACAAGAAAGATGTATCCTTTGGCCTTACACTTTCAGTGGAGAGCAGAGGCTTAGCTGAACTTGTCCAAAAGAGCAAATTACTCCTCTTACCATGCTGTCAACCTCATGCAGCAATGCAAGCCATTTAATTTGTGTTTGGATATAGGGAGGGAGTCTCTGCTACATCACATAGCAGTATGAGAGATACTCAGTGTGTTGTTTTTAATTTCAGAGTTGAATAAGGAAAAAGGAGACAACCTCTTAAACAACTGTAAGTACAAGTGCTTTATAGAAAAGGTCCAGGGACATGGTGCTATAGGTTGTGTGTTTACAAGATTCTTATGCTTTTGAGATGCAAGTTGAAAAATAACTTGTTAAAGATACTAGAGCAGTAGGTAATTCAGGAGCCAGGGAAGACATTGGCTCATTTTCTTGTGGTTAGGCTGGCTCTGTAGTGTTTGCAGAATCGGGCATTCTGACTTGGTGGTGGGAAGCACTTGCTTTGATGTTGATTATGGGAAGTAGGGGCATGGAGGTGAGTTGCTGTTAGTGAGCTTTGCTTGAGGACTACAGTTGCTGTGGGCTGATATTCTTGCTGTGATCCTTCCAAAAAGATCTTCCCTCTTGCCACCTCCTCCCTGCAAAAAGGTTTGGCAGTGGATGTCTGTAAGATTTGAGCTAAACCTTGCAATCTACAGGGAAAGGCCAGAGTGTGGGAGAAGAGCTGTCCACAGTGAAAGCAAGGCAGTGGCACAGCCTTGGACAAGGGCAGGTTCTTAGTCCCTCTACAGTTCTGTGCTGCACTGTGAGGTCTTGGAGCTCCCCTGGAAACAGGGTTACAGCATGTGTCCTCTCCCGGTCCCCTGCGTGGTCTTGGCCGTGCAGTGTCCTGCAGGAGCCTTTGCATGTTAACTTTCCATCTTCAGATGGACTCTAAGAATTAACTGGTTTGGATCTGACTTTTTTTTGGCTGAGTAATACATGACTATGCTGTTGGCACAGGGGCTTTAAGTAAGCTGTTGGAGGAAGAGGACACTATTTTTTTCTTTGTTCCTGCTCTCAAGGCTGACCTGGAGCTCACCTGAAAAAATCCTTCCTTTGTGTGCTCAGTTTGTGGGTGGGTTTTTTGTTTGTGGTTTTTTGCAACCTCCTTCAGCAGTTCAGCGATGCTTGAAGCTGTGCTGGCTATGTTGGTCTCGCCTTTGCTGTACAGCTGGCATGTTACAAGTAGTAGTGGACAGTGGAGTAGCCTCCACTGTTTTGAATTTACAGGGGATGTGCAACATTTGTCCTGTGCATGTTTTGGTGGTGCTGTGTGTTAAAGCTTAGAGCTGACCTGGTTGTTTATGTGGGAGTTCCTCAGTATTTTTATACTCAATTTTTAAGAAGTCTTTAAAAAAAAAAATGAAACCAAACAAAATGTTATTTTTTCATACTGTACCAAGAGAAGTTTTGCCTTTAGATAAAACTTAAATGCTATTATTATGAAAGCTATATGAATGTAAATGCTTAGGTGAATTATCAGTGTGTGTCTTCATGCCTAATAATCTGTGTGTACTTGCACACACAGACATTAAGGGGTATGTATATGTTAACCTTCCCTCTGTACAGTTCTGGTCAAATATCAAAGTAAGGTTTGTAGAGAGGCAGTATTTTTTTAACTAGGTAAACAGTTACAGCTGGGGAAAATTGTGTGTTGGATATACAGCCTTCAGCTCCCATGGGAGTACCTATAGGCTTGTGTATCTGAAAACTGGCTTAATGAAAAAGTAGTGACTCTTCTACTGAACTGTTTACCTCACATCTATCCTGAGATGCTTGTGGCTGTGACACTTGGTTTCCCTGCTATTGGAGGCACGGCTTTAGGTGACGGCTGTATCTTCATACCTCTACCCTGTTATGCCGCTGCCTGACACCACGTGGGCCTTTCCCAAAGCAAGACTGATTTCCCTCAAGCAGCTAAAGCAGAGCTGCCTTGTCTTTGACAGGCTGTGGAATACGCAAACAGGCGTTCTCCTTTTCGGGAGTGGAGAGAATAGCTGGCGGGCAGCAGGCGCAGGATGGGGAATGGCCGTGGCAGGCTAGTATTCAGCTTGATGGGAGACATCGCTGTGGTGCGTCAGTGATCAGTAATACATGGCTAGTGACTGCAGCCCACTGCTTTAGAGGGTAAGTTGTCAGCACCTTTCTGATTGTACAGGCCTTAGGACTCTTCAGTCCTCTGACAGGTCTGCTCTGACCTTTTGTGACACACTAATGTCTGTATCTGCTGAAAGCTAATGAAGTTTGGCTCTGCACTGCCCCTTAGGCAAACCCAGCTACATTGCATTTTGATGCTTAAATCGAGAGCTAAGCTCCTTTGGGCATCATGTTTTGTGTGGCTGTGACATCATCTCATATCTTTCAGAGGAAAAGATCCTCGGAGGTGGACTGCCAGCTTTGGAATTCTGCTGAGACCTCCAAAACAGAAAAAATTTGTCAGAAGAATTATCATTCATGAAAAATACAGTGACTTTGTCATCGATCATGAATATGATGTGGCTGTTGTGGAACTTGCCTCTCCTATTGAGTTCACGAGTGATGTGCACAGTGTCTGTCTTCCTGAAGCGTCTCACATATTCCCAGACAACACTTCCTGTTTTGTCACAGGTTGGGGAGCTTTGGTGAATGATGGTGAGTGTCTCTTGCCTTCCTTGTATCTCGTAGCTTGCAGTTGAATTCAACACTGAACAATACATATACAATACATATACAAAAATCCCTTTGCCCATTAGGCTAAAGAGCATCTGGTGAAGATGGAAGATGGAGAAGGATTATATTTGAGGACAAGTGAAAGACTTTAGAGGAAAAAAGAACTTCCTGAGACATTGTCCGGGTAGCTCCATTCACTGCCTGTGATGGCAGAAAAAGCTGTAGGAAAACCTGGCTGCTCCTAATTGTAGAATCATAGAATGGTTTGGGTTGGAAGGAACCTTCATCAAGGTTGAGTTCCAACCCCTTGCCATGGGCAGGGACACCTTCCACTAGCCCAGGTTGCTCAAAGCCTCATCCAGCCTGGCCTTGAACCCCTCCAGGGATGGGGCATCCATAGCTTCTCTGGGCAACCTGGGTCAGTGTGTCACAACTCTCAGAATAAAAAATTTCTTCCTGATATCTAATCTAAATCTACCCTCTTTCAGCTTAAAACCCTTATCCCTCATCCTATCACTCCCCTCCCTGATAAAGAGTGCTTCCCCATCTCTCCTGTAGGGCCCCTTGAAGTACTAGAAGGCTGCTGCTAGAAGATCTCTTTTTGGGGGAGGGGAGGTGTTTTCTACCAGGTACTTTATTTGAAGGAACTCTGTTTCACCAAGAGGGCAGGAATATGCTCTGTTTTAGGTTGCATACCCTGTCTGCAAAGTCTATCGCTGCTTTTCCTTCTAGGCTCTAGTGTTAATCATCTTCGACAAGCAGAAGTGAAAATTATAAGCACTGAGACTTGTAATAATAAAGAAGTGTATGCTGGGGCGATAACACCTGGAATGTTGTGTGCTGGATACTTGGAGGGGCAGGTGGATGCCTGCCAGGTAAGTCTCTTCATAGGTAGTAGTAAGGAAACAAGTGGGGTGGGAGGTGATGTTTCCTAGAAATAAATATACTTTGGGGAATCTTGATTGAGTTGATGGGGTTCAGGATCTTGACAGATGTAAACTAAGAGCTTTGTTGCTCCTGGGCTGAAGTCTGCACTTAGGTTTTTGGGTTTTATGTATAATGCACATGTGAGAGAATGCAGATACGAGGGTGTGGAGTGGGAGAGAGAATTAGACATGGGTTGTCAGCCTCTGTCTTCACAGTAAATCGTGTGGAGGTTGAATTATAGCTGTGGTCTAGAGACAAATATCTGTCAGCTGTAACAGAACAACTTGAGGTTTGCTGCATTAGTGAGATGAATCCTGTGTGCTCTTTGTTCTTGCCTGCTGACATTTTTCTCCTTAGGGTGACTCTGGTGGGCCACTGGTGACTATGGACTCCAGAGGAATCTGGTATCTCGTGGGAATAGTGAGCTGGGGAGATGAATGTGGCAAGCGAAATAAACCAGGAGTGTATGTGCGAGTGACGTACTATCGAGACTGGATTGCCTCCAAAACGGGCATCTGAAACCTCCAGCGGGTCAAGTTTTGTGGGCTGTGTGTAAGACTATTCCTCTGACACATTCTGCTCTGTGGTTACTCTCTAAACAGCTGCTGGCTTAGCTTGTGGTCATGTATCAAGTACCAGTGAGCCCGGAGTGGTTTAGGACTTGAAAACTGGTTTGGCCTACAGCCAGAAGGGAATGGACTTGATCCATGTGACAGCTGTTTGTTCAGGAAGTGCTCCATCAAAGGAACAACTGCCTTCGTCTATATGCAATATACTGATCCTTTTTTATCATGGTCAGATGTCTTGGCCCCTACTTTTATGTCCAGGTGAAGTGTTTGAGCCCAAACACTAATTTACCAGCATCCAGGACAATTGATAACTAAAACGTGGCCTGTGCATTCGCTGCGTGCTCCCAAGGTCCTGTGTATCTGTAGACCAGATAGAATCCAGCCCCTGACTCCAAGGCTGCTGTGCTCGTGAATTATTGAGATTTTTTCCTGCCTCATTCCAGGGAGCATATTCTAATGAAGAACAGAAGATGGCTTAGTGAAGTTCTGGTTCTTAATATCGCATTGGACTGTTACCTAAGTGAATAGGGAGTTTTTCCTTGCTGTGTTGTCCTGAAAAAGGGATCAAAGAAAAACACTATCTTCTGTCCACCTTCTTTGAACAAGTGTGTATGTGCCCACTCATCGCTTCATGTGAACAGCCCCTACCACAGCATTTGCCTGGAGCCTAATTGCTGGACTTAAGACCAAAACCCACTTTCTGTTTGTACCAGTCTGTCATGTCACAGTATTTGGCTGAATTGATTTCCATTTTTAACTTTCCAGGTTGTAGTGTTAGGAGTAAAAGTCTTTGGCTTTTTGTGCATGATGGAGGATTGTAGCAATTTCAGTATGACCATTGCCAAAAAAACCCCTTCTCAGACTGCTTATTCACGTAAAAGGTGTTGTCAAGTCTTTATCATTTAATGTGTGTATCTTCAGCTGTATCTGGAAAGAAAAAAGCTTTTGTGTTACAGTGGAAACATCTGTCTCCTTCAGAGCAGGGCAGAGCATCTGACTCGCTAATCTTATGTAAAGATCTCTTCCATCAGGAAGTGCGTGCCTGTGTCTCATTGACAGTCCGTAACTAATCCATTTGATCTCAACCATACAAACTTCATGTTCTGACTTCATGTTTTCAAGAGCCCGTGTTTTTCTCTACCTAAGATATCTCAAACACTTCCTACACCCCAGCAGAAGAACACACCTATTTCTGGTAGGGATGCTTTCTTTGGTGTGTCTGCAGATTCTTTCTGAGTGTGGATGCTGATCCTGCCAACAGCAAGTGCTTAGTTGCTAAATAAAGAGCCCCTCAATTGCTCTCTTCTCCCTCTATGGTCAGAAGAGAAAGAACTCGGCAAAGGAGATACCAGCCACAGTGCCAAGACCTGGAGCTGGGCCAGTGGGGCAAGCAAGAATCTTCTGCTCACCTAGAAAAAGCAAAGAGCAGGCTTTCAACCTGCTTGTAGTTAAAAGATCTGAGGGAAAAAGGCACTTGGTGACTAGAGTCTTAGGATAAGACATAGTCAATGGCAGTTCAGGGGATCCCATCTGGACTATGCAGCTTGCTGCAAATGCTGCCCAACAATAGTAATCCATTGACTTAACAGAAGTATTTTGATTACATATCCTTTGATCTGTCTGCTTGGCTGTACACAGAACCATGCTTTTCCAGAGCCTCCTTGGAAGTACTGGGATATTTGGATGCCCAGTTTGCCAAGCACTTTAGGCTTGTGTTTTCAAAGGGCATAGCTGTTTCCCCATCCTGCTGCATTTCATTATGACTTGGAAACTTAATATTTTTAGGCTTGCAAATTCCTGGTATGTCACAGATTCCACAGAACAGGTAAGTAGATGTCCAAAAGATTGATTTTGAGTGTGTGATATTCCCAGTTGTGCTTATTTTGGCTACAAAATCAGAAAGCCTTAAGCGTTTTCCTCTGTATAAAAGGACTGCAGTAAATATTCTCAAAAGTGGTGCACATAAGGATGAGACAGTGAACTTGTCACTTGCTTAAGGAGCTACCTGTTCTGAGTGTCTACTCGGAGAGATCCAGTACCTGATCCACCTTAATGCTCAGTGCCAGCATGGTGCAGCCAGGAGGAGTGGGGCTGAAGAGGACCTGATGTCTATGTAGTGTATGTTTTGGGAGCCTTTATCTTGGACTGTGTTGTGGACTTTTGAGTTTTCCTGACAGCAGCTGGAACAAGTCTTCTGATCTGGTTTCTTCTGGAAGCAATTTTGTTTATGTGCTCTGAGGCCTTTTGGTGATGCGAAGCAGTATAAATGGGGACTGTCAAGAAGAGCACTCAAAAGAACATCCCTCATCTTCTGGGAATGTTGGTGTGGATAGATGTGACAGGTCTGAATCCCTTGCTCCTGGCAAAACTACACTCTTGTCATAATTGTCTGGCTTTTCTTGAGAGAGGTTATGGCAACCTGAAGCAATGTCAGTGGCCAAAACATTTTAATTTGTTTAGGGGGCCTAGTATTTCTTCTAAGCTGCAGTTGCAACTATTTATGAAGCTACAAGCTTTATCTGCTCTCAGCTGTGTTTTCATGGGAATTAACACCTTCACTCAAGGCAGAATGGGATTCATCTAACTGTACAATCATACATGACACACAGCAATGTAATTTATATGTAAATATAATAAAACGCATTAAAAATAATTTGTCTTCTATTTCATGTACTTGTAAATCACCTGCGTCATTGTAAGATAGGGACTCCTCTGTTTTAGAATGTATTGCACTGATCCTATACCATGTATTTATGTACTAATTTTTGTGTAGTCTTAACCATCTGGGTAAATTGACTTGTTAAAAGAAGAGTATAACTGTTGCAAGAGCATAATGCTATCCAGACTTGGGCAGAACTTACCCATCTGGCCAGAGGTTACCCAAATTTGGGTGCAGCTGAGCAGGTCTGTCAGCCACTAGAGGGTGAAGCGTATTGTCTAAGAGCCTTCAGCTCTTGGCTGGTGATGCTGTTTCAGCTCAGCGGAGAGGAGTGGGAGGACAAGGTACCATGGCTATGTTGTTTTGCAGATGCAGAGGTGCTACACTTGCAGAGTTTGAGGAGACTACAGCCGTTCAGCTTTTAGTGTAGGCCTTGGCAGCACTGGGTGAGTTCCAGTCTCCTTCCCTATCAGAAAGCTGGCATCAGATGCTCCCCTTTACGTGCGTGAGTGCAGTGTGCTGTGGCTGTGAGCGGGGGGCTGGGCAGGTTTTGCCTGTTTCCCTGCCACACCGTGGCCAACCTTTGTCCTGTGGAAAAGTAGACTGGAAAGGCACATTGTCAGGTATTGTTGGCATCACTGGGCTGTATTGTCAGTTATCAGCCTTCCTGCAAGCAAGATAGCAAAGAGCAGCAGCAGTTTGGAGAATCTGGTAGGGTGGGAGGTCTGCAAGTGGCATACAGCTGCTGTTTGCTTTGACCTCCAATTTTGACAACTCCTGATGATTCCTGTAGATGGAAAACAGATTTCTTCTTGTCCCCTTCCTGTCAGAATTGTACAAATGGCACCATATTCTGAGCTGGAAGAGCAAGCTCTTAATGAACAAAACATGCTGGAGTTCATTGATGTAATATTTAACACCCAAAGGGCTGGTCTTGGAATTTGAAATTACCTGAGAGGGTAAAAAGGAGGGCAACAGCTTTTTTGCAGTATTACAAGACATGCGCAGTGATCTATGGATGGGAGGGTGCCTGCTTGTTCGGAGGAACAGTAGCCCTTTTTTACTGGTTCAGGTGCAATAAAAGGAGTCTAAGTTAGGCTTCTTAAAGATCATAATTTGTAACAAGTAGGTTTGTTTTTTTTTTTCCTGTAGCTTAGAGAAAACTGCTTTTTGCTGAGTTTCTGGCAGAGCACATCGTCTGTGTGTGACATTTGAAGCATTTATGAGCATTCAGTAGCTGGTAACAGCCGTGACCTAAGGATATGTGAGCTGGTGTGGTTTTATAGGGCTGGGGGAGTCATGTGTGTGGAGTTCCTGTCAAAGGGTTTGAAGTGAAGACCTGAACAGGAGATCAACTCTCCTGGGCTTCTGCATGTGTGGTTGAACCAGTATCCTTCTATAAAACATAGCTGTCAATATTTCAGCTTGCTTGGGGTCTTTGATCCATTATTGCTTCAAACAAAACCTTTCAAAACCCATCTGTTGAGAATAGTTCAGAAGCAAATATTGCAAATTGCAGTTAATCTGCTTTATCTTAGGATAAGGTTTTATTTTTAATTGAACCCATTCTTAAATGACACCTCCTTTGAAGAATAGTTGATGTTTCCAAGCTAGTGGCTTTCTCAGGCACAAATAAACAGTTGCAGTAAAGACAGAGAAAAGGCTTTTGAGAACTTGTTATTCAAAAATGCATTTATTTTCTTTTGTGTAAGCTTGGATAGGTCCAAGGAATGCATGACATGTCTCTGATTCACTTGATTAGCTAATGAGTTCCTTTTTCCTTCCAGTAAACCTGAAAAGTTGTGCTTGCCATGTGATGTTTGTCCTCTCAACTCCTGTGCTTTCCATCTTCCAGTTGGGCCACTGAGCAGGACAATCCTTTGAGGAAGGACTTAGCATCAGCCTAGCATCCAGAGCCTGTTTTAACCACAGATTACTCTTTGTAAGTCAGTACTAACAGTCAGCTGCCTGAGATTGTTGCACATCTCTGACCTTCCCCAGACTCTTGGTGTCACCTGGAGTCTGCAGCCTTTGGAGTCATGACCCAGACGGTCTGGCACTGTTCTCCAGGTCAGCGGAGATGACCTGCATACCAAGGGGACCTGTTACTGGGATCATTTATTCTCTGGCAGACAGACCAGATGGAGGGACTGCAGTAGCAAGAAATTTATTTTGTGTTAGAGTGTGGTGTGAATATAAGAAAAAAAACCTTCCTTATTCCAAGAGTGGTTGAACATTGAAACACTTTGTCAGAAGAGGTTATAGAGTCTCTATTCTTGGAGATATTCAAAGCTCAGTAGGACATGATCCTGAGCAACTTGGTCTATGTGCCCATGTTTTGAGCAGGGATTTTGGGCTAGACTATCTCCAGAGGCCCTTTCCTACCTCAGCTACTCTGTGATTCTGTTCTCCCAAGGTGTCTGGTAGCTTCAAGGAAGTGCATGTGGCCATAGCTAAGTGGTGGGTACTGTCAGGTGAGCTGGCTGCCCCTCAGCTGTTTCTGTGACAGGTGAATGCTCTAGCAGACAACCTAAAGAAGGCTGATACCAGGTTGTCTTTGTGTTTGACCCTTAGATGCAGTATGCAGCACTGTTGTCCCCAACTTCTCTGGCACTGTTACCGCTGATTGAGCAAGCAATGAAAATAGCAGGGCATGCAAGGGAAAACAATCCGTTCTGTGCCACCTAGACAGAGAGCAGGTTACCCAAGAGTGAGCTCAGCCAGAAAGTCTTGCAGAGAGGCAGCAAACCAAGCCGGGACCCTCATTTGGTACTGAGCAGTCCTGCCTGAAGTGTGCTGCATTTTCCTCTGAGTCACTTAGCTCCTGAACTGTGGCTGAAAGGATATCCAGAGTTGAAATAGCTGCAGGATGATAGTCTTAGGCTTGTATTTTCTAATGCAGTGTATGATAAATTGGCCGACTTATCACAAGCATCATATTCAGGATCTTGCGTGCTACTGCAGAGCAAACAGGAGCAGATAACAGCTGTGGTAGAAAGCTTCTCAAAGAGCCAGACTCTGTTTGTCTGCCAGTAGGCAAGTTAGCTGCTAAGAAAGAATATGAAATCAAATCCAAGCTAGCTGTTTTCTGGGGTCATAGAGACATAGGAAAGGTCTTGAGCGCCGTGTCTTTTGCAGAGCTCAACACCAGTGCTCCCAGTAAGACTCTTCAGCACTTCTGATGTGTGAAAAGATCCTGTTGCTCTCTTACTTAATTTGAACTGTGCCTGTAAAGATTTTGCTATATTTATTTTGATCTTAATGTGCCTTATTTCTTTGTAGGCTTAGTCCAGCCCATATAAAGATGTCATCGCTCTTTGGAGATGCTGTGCAGCTTGACTGGGAGCAGAGAATTTGTGCAGCGGCTGTAGAGAATGCCTTGTTAGCCTGATTGCTAGGGAACACTGGGAAGAAAATGCAGGCTGGCCTGTTTCGCTGTACGGAGTAGCAGCTCTGGCTGAGCAGCTGCAGAGGACAGCTGCATGTGTGCTACCTTTTTGCCTCGAATGGGGCGACGGGCTATGAATTCTTTTTTAATGACTCTGGCAGTGGGGGACTTGTGTTGTCTAAAGGCGTTGTCAGTATTCTGGGCTGGCCTATCTGGCTGCAGTTCAGACGGGTGTAGCAGTTTCTGTTATAAGGGCCTGGAAAGAGGGACTATTTGGAAACCAACCAGCACAGGATTTAGCATACTTCAGAGCTTGAGGCCATTGTTGTAGCCTCAGCCTCTGCACACTCAGTATCTTGAAGCTGCATGGGCATGTAATAAAATCTGGCCCTGAGTGACTTTTCAGTGTTTAAGAAAAAGGACCTGGCCTCTCTCCCAGCCCTGATATATGCTCTGGAGAATCATTCTGTCCTTTTAGTGGTCTTTCTGGTTTTGTTTCTCTACTTATTGGTTATTAAAAGCCATGGCTGGAAATTTCAGGTGGCAAAGGAAAGCATGGGATAATAAACTGGTGACCTTTCTTGTCATAAGAGCAGAGTCATGTAGCATGGCCGCAGATGAAGCTGAACAGTATCAAGAAATGGAGCTCATTTAGAGCTTCCACTGAATTTTGAAGGCCAAATGCACGATTCCTTTCTATTTTTTTTCAGGAGGAGGAGGCCTGAAGCCATCACTGAGCTGTCAAGGTGAGCTGATGGAAAATGAGTGGACTTGTCCAGGGGAAGGATTCCATCACAGTGTACCAGTTTGGTCTTATCAGATGCTCGCAGAATCAGAGTAGTTTAGGTTGGAAGGGTCATCTCATCCAACCCTGTGCTCGAAGCAGGTCTAATTAGTTCAAGTTGTTTAAGGCCATGCCGTTTAACAGCGCTTCCCTCAGTTCTGTTAAATATCACTGGCAAGAGCATTCACTTCTCAGTTTAAAAGTGATGACTGACTGCTGTCTTGGGTCTGAAATTCATGGCCTGGGTTGAGTAACTGGTAGACAATTATGTAAAACATCTTTGATTGTAAATTCCGAAGATGTTCTTGCTATAGAGCTGGCCGATGCTCTTCTCTGAAGGCGTTCTTGGTCTCTACAGCCAGGCTGCCTATCTTAAGTATGCAAAATAAACCAAGGTAGCCTGTTATTACCATTCTTAGGCAAGCAGTCTGTCTGACCAGCTGGGCTGACTTTGCAGGGTTAAACTGAGACAATGCTCATTACGTCTTTTTACACTTTCATTCACAAAATCCTGTGCACCTGCATTCTGGAATTTCCACCCCATGCTTTGATAGCTAGTTTCTGTCCTGCTTCCCTGCTATTAACCAAAAATGTTAGTAAGTGTCTTTGCTTACTAAATAACCCTGTAATACTATGCACTTTGCAATTTGCTAATTTATTGTGAAGAAAATTGTTCCTTAATGATTGTCTTTTCTTGGTCTGTCTGTACTATTGTTCCCAGGGGACAGATGTGTATAAACTGATTTTGTGTAATCTGACACAGACAAGTAGAGTTCCTTATTTTCCACTCTCTTCCAGGACAGTTCATTTTTAATGGTGAATTAATTTGAAAACAAAAGCATCCTGTTTCAGTTTCTATTGGGCAGGTCACAAAAAATTCTTAATTGTAAGGAAATCAGATTATGATTTTGGAATATCTCTGTTCATGCTCTGGAGTAACAACAGGAAGGTCTGTCCCTGTGAGGGGTTACTGGAATTTGATTCATCTGTTGTCCAAAGCCCTTTCTCTAGCGCTCCCTCCTGAGACCCTTTGCACCCTGGTGTTCTTCTAATGATTATTCTTCCTCTCTGTGAAATCTTGGTGCAGAGCCGAAGATCTCAGGTAACTTTTACCTCAAACTCTAGCAGTCTGCTAGAACCCAGTTCCACTGGGATTTGGTTTTTACCTGACCTAGGAGGATAGAGCTGGACTTCAAACTTCTAGGCACATTAGGGAAAACTCTGTGCATCTTACGTGGTAAACACTTTAAGGGTTGGCTTTTCCCAGTGTGCTAGGCCTGAGTACTCGGAGCACCTGATTGGTGGTCTTCAGGTACTAATTAAGAAGTTAATGTTGGTAGCCTACCAATAGTGCTGCTAACTTTTATCTGTGTAAACAGGCACAGCCTCAGCTTGACTGTACTGGACAGAAATTGCTACATGCTTCTTTGCATTACATCCAAACTTAATGAAGCTTTTCTATTCCAGGAGTGTGTTTTGTAAGGATGACGAGTTTCACGATTGCAATATTAATAGAGAGAAAAGAAACCAAGGAATTCTAAGGTATTCTCATGACTCCCAGATTGAATCTGTTTGTAATCAATCTCCAGCACTCCCTTGAGTGCTGCTGGGATTCCTGTGGGTGTGCGCATGTTACTGCGTGGAGCAGGGATTTCCTTTGTGCATAAACTTTTTTGAGTTTTACTAATCTTGACAAAGAAAATAACGGGGCGGGGGGGG